AAAAAAAAAAAAATTTAAGGGAATAAAATTTGTCACCTATCATCTTCACATTTAAATAAGCTTTCCTCGTATTGACTTTTCCTCGATGGACTAGAAGAAGTTCCAGATCTTACTGAAACCCAAACATCATTTAGAACAGATTTGTCAAGTTCAGTTCTATGGCTAGAGACAGGTGCACGACACTGCCAGTCAACAACAATTTAAATAAAACCAAGTTAAAACAATTCATAGAGATTGTGATAGCTAAAAGCGAATAGAATAAATTGATATATAATACTAACATTTTCTGGCAATAGCCGATAACTAGGAGTACAACTTGGGCAGTTCGAGAGATCCAAGTCTTTGTAATCCATTATACTGGGGGATAAAGAAACTTTGTGATTAGCCACGTCTTTTGAGACATCTGGAGAACCTTGATTGATTTGCTTGTTTTCTCTATGTTTAACACTTTCAACGGTCATATTTGCATCCTTTTTTTCATGTTCCCTATCCATATCTCTATCCTGAATCTGAAAGATGGAGAGAAATGTCAGCAAAAATTTCAGTTAATGGAACCAATTTAGGTTGGGACGATTAACACCAAAGTTTTTTCAGGAGATACCTTTTGCATGCAAGGTGGCTTCATAGTTCTGAACTTATCACGCCTAGCAAAACGTCTACCAGGTGATACAAGTTGAGCATTTGAGGTAGATGCATCAGGCAAAAAATGTAAAAATTCCATAAATAAATCTTCATGATTTTTAAAAAGCAATGCCACCTATAGAATAATACAACTGAGATCAGAAATACGTCAAACCATGAGTGCTATATGGCTAAAAAAACAAAAACAAATGATCACTACATACCTCCCGGCGAACCTCACTGCTTGATTTAGTATGATTCCTATACATTTCAAGAGTATTTAAGAATGATCTGTAAGTAAGTTGATCATTTTCAAATCGGCTCTGCAAGAAGGCGAGTGATTAGATTGAACCCAATAAAAGCACATTGAGGTAAATAATCTGAATCAGTAAACAACTTAGCCTATAGATTAGCACCTTAATTTTGCTCACGAAGTTGAAAGCTTCATGGAAATCAGCAGGCTTCTTTTCCTCGGGCTTCTTCTCCTCTGGAACCTTAATCTTGTAGCCATTAGGCAAAAATTTGCTGAAACCAAGGATCAAATCGCTATGCCCTTTAAAGAGTTCTTGCACCTTCATAATCACTTCATATGTATTAATCCTGCAACCAACATAAATCTGAGAAAACCAACCAAAAAACATTGATATGAATGCAAAAGCAACCACAAACATATTTATCGACTAAAAAACAAGACAAACTCAAAACCTCTGGCTCTTGAAACCCCTCATAACTTCGAGAAACTCATTGTACTTCTCCTTATTGTCCTTAAACAAATCTTTAACGCACTTTAAATACGCCAAGGCATCACTGGTCGTTAACTTCTGCGCACTTGTATCCGTATCCGAAGCCATATGAGATTGCCCAAATCTTCACCAAGACCATGAAAATAAATGAGTTAGAGCAGATCGAATACAAAGACAAAACTTCCCTGCAGGAAATAATATCATTCTAACGTTCACCACAACAAAAACTTCTCTTTCCTGCCCGCTCAACTCTTCATCTAAGAATCTGTTTGGTAATTGGTAGAGAACTTAAGTAAATCTTACTCCGAATAATAAAAAAATTTCTACGGTATTATCAATCCCTCTTTACCTCCGATTGCCCCAAGTTCTAGATTTACTAAGTCCAGCAGTTCTTCGGATTTAAGAGATTCAAACGAACTAATACTCGATCCCGTCGAAACCTTCGCCAGCCAGCTCCCGTCGCGAATTCCTGCCTTCAATTCTTTGAGGATTTTTGGTAGGATGAGAGGATTAAAAGGGAAGAGGATTTCGGACACTCCACTGGATCCCGTGGAAGCGTTCGCCAGGAAGCTCTCGTGGAAAATTCCGCGCTTCTTTTGCGTCGAGGATTGCGCGAAGGTGAAGACCGGGAATGGAGACGAGAAGGTTATCAGGTGAGCACGCTGAGGTTAGTTTGTAAGGGCAATTGCTCGTATTCGATAACTGAAATTTGTTTTTCCCAACAGAAACCAGCTACAATTTGATTTTTACAAATTAATTTTCTTTTAAATTTTTTAATTATTATTTAAATATCAAAATTCAATCGAGAAATAATTATGCTTAATTATAATTAAATTTAAATAATTAAGATCAATTTAGATTAAATTAGCATAACAAAATATCACGAAGATCAACTCTGTGGCTTCAGACCCCTAACACAGACCTGCAATCCAGCTTCCCTCGATCATCATTATCATCATATCATTACGCTTCCACAACTTTTTTATCACACCAATGATTTCAACAGGCAAAAGTAAGAGGATCTCAATTTCCTCGGTCGAAATAACACAGGAGATGGTCAGTTGCAGAGAGATTAAAGAAAGAAATAGAGCGATTGAGAGGGAAAATTAGAAAAATATTGAAGGATAAAAATGCGCAATCTCATATCCATTAGTTCTTGAGATTTGAGTTGGGAGATAGTGTATGATGCTAGGACGTAATTTTTTGATATCAATGCAAGAAAGTATAATTTCACCCCTCCAGAATCTTCAAATTTGCCCTAAGAGAACACCATCGGCAAAAATCAAATTAAACCCTCCACCTAGAACAACTAGGGGAAATTTTTGAAAAATTAAAGGCATTGGAGTCTGAAAACTCACAGATCGAGCCTCGCTAAGTTCGATTTGTTCTATTCAGTCGCAATCCACCGATCGTTCAATTCCACAAACGCAAACGAAATCGAATTCACTGTGCGAGATCACAGAGAAGGACGCAGAGAGGAAAAGGAAGAAGAGACCTATTTGTTGAAGCTTGGAAGCCAAAAAGCGAGCGAAGAGGGCAAGGAAGCGGTTACTTGGTATAAAACTATAATTAGTATAATAATATATGAAAATTTACATATATAGCACATAACTCTTAGATATTTATATATCTACCATCAAAATTTTGATATTTATTTAAATAATATTTAAATATCTTAATTATAAAATATAAATATTAATAATATTTTATTTATTTAAAAATGTAAATATCATATGAATAAATAAATAATTTATATATATGAAAATTAAAAAGTGATATTCCCTATAAAATATTAAAGGGAGAAAACAAATTAGGCTGGGAATTTATTTTCATAATATTATATCATTATTTTGTATATATCTAACAGTTTTTTTATCTATTTAGCTTTATAACATCATGGCCTTTAAATTTCATAAAAATACCACACGTCACAATTCTGAATCGAGGAATTTTGGTCTTTTGATCAAGTCAAAGAGAACAAATGATGATGATTGAAGAAACATGTGGGATTATTTATCTTAATTTTTTTAACAAGAAATTTTATTCCATAAAAAAAGAAGATACATCCATTCAACCAAAAAGGAGCAAATAACATCTAAAAAAATACACAGTGGAGCAACCGACCAGAAAAGAAAGGGGAAATCACCGAAACAGGCTCAAGTAATGGCGAAACACTACGACCACCCAAACGAAAGGGCCCTCCAAAGGGCAAGCAACAGGCTAGCAAAACCAAATACCGCACAAAGACCAGTAAGAAGCCGCCAGCAATGGTTGCCAAAAAGCTTATTTGGATTTCCTGCGACGACGATTTCCCCCAACCAAGGTAAAATCATTTTCTATGAGAGGATCCACTTGCACTTTATACGATTCTTGAACACCCCTAGAAGAGTCAGCAAAAACCGTCTGATCCCCATCCAGACTAATAGGGAAAACATTCAACAAATCTGAGCGATCCACATAACAATCTCTAGACTTGCCTAAATGAACTTGTAAAGCAACATTTGAAATTAGAGGCACTAGCACATCAATAAATTGAGCAGACGAAAGAACCCCAACAGGTGTAACAGACTCAATAACAGGAGAAATAGTTGTTGACCCACCCAAATCAATGGAACCATCATCCACAACCAGATTAATACCATATTGGCCTTCAACAGTTTCTACCAAAATTTCACCAGAACCACAGCCACTAGGAGAGTTCTCAACAACAATAGGGGAAAGAGCACCATCAAGCGCACTAACACCCTCCATTACACAAGCATTAGTATTAATCTGGGAACAAACCGCATGCAGAGGAATCTCCTCTGAAACCTCCAGAGGAGGAACCAAAGCGACCACAGCTATTGGAGGGTCCGTCACAATCTCAGGCTCCATGACTTGAACCACATGGTTAAGGCCATCAACAAGTTCAACTGAAGTATTAACATTATCCAAAATAGAATTAACAGCCTTAGTCAACGCAGTATGAGTTAAAGCTAACTGGAGACGAAGAATTTTATATTCAGATTTGGAATGCCCCCAAAGACTTACAGTGGGAGCAATAACAGGGGAAATCCTCCATAATTATCGGTTGTATATACCCTAAAGTTTCTGGACTTACCCACACCTTATCAGGATAGAATTTAGTAACATCCAGCTCAACCAGGACACGAGTTACTGAAGGCCTAGAGCCAGCCGACGTAGCATGATCAATCTTAAGAGGCTGACCAAACATAGATCCTAAACCATGCAAAATCCTCACATAAAAGAGATGGATACACAGGTTTGGAAAAGAAATCCAAATGGGAATAATGGGTGATTTGAATTCAACATCAAAGGATGATGTCACTTAAAAATCTTCATGTAACAGTTATTAAAAGTAAGAACGGTGAGCAAAAATAAGGCAGTAGTCTAGGTCATTGATGAGTTTGACTAAAACATGTATGGGATTTAGGACAGTAACATAAAATTCACCATTGAGCTTAAGGTTAAAGAAAAATTTGCGAATAGCCTCAAGCAACGGTCTACGCGAAGGGAATTTACCGACTAAAGCAAACTCAAACGGAGCCGTTAACGCTAAATTTTTCGCTTCCGAAATCCACAACAACGACAAACCACGGAAGGAAGCAATTTTGAGATCCGAAAAGAGGGAGGAGGAAGAACCACTAGAAATAGCATCACGGAAAGACTTCGAAGAAGCTTTACCAGCCAAAAAATCAGGATCAACTAATCTCTTACTTGCCATCGTCACAGCGGTCCCCGACACCATGGAGCTCTGGCAGTCTCTGACACCGTGGAGCTTCGTCTAGGGCAGATCTACTTCGTGCTGTCGCGATCAATGTTGTGGCAACCTTGCGGCGGACCTCATGGCTCTTGCTGTGAAGAGCAGCCCGACGATCATGAGAGCAGCGCTAGGTGGGGAGACGCAGCAGGAGACCTCGGAGACGCGATCCGAGCCGGCTGCAGGAGGAAGAGCCGACAAATGGGCTTCGGATATGGCCCGAATCTGACTTGTTTAAAAATAGGTTAGCAGTTGGGATTCAAACCCTACCCGTTGGTAACCCAAATGAGCTGACCTTCAACCGATAATCCGTTTTGATTAAAAAAATTATAAGTTGTCATCAACAAAATTTAAGTTAAATGTTAAAAAATAAAAGGAGAAAATTAACAAGAAAAAAATTAACAAAATCGAGTTCACAAGTCAATCTAAACTTAAATATGTTAAATTTTTGGACCGACTCATTTATTAAACTTGCCAATCTGAATTCTTTTTTTTTTTTCTTTTTTTTGTCGAATCTTCAATCGAATTATTTATTGACGCACCTATAAATTACATACATACAAATATTTTTATTTTAAAATTAAAATTATAGTATGAATTATTTAATTTTTTTTATTTATCAAAATGGGGATATAAAGAAATAAATTTTAATTAAATGCAGTTCAATACATAAAATATATAAATATATATTTTTAAATAGTTATAACAAAATATGGACTATTTGTGGAAAATATATTCCGTACTAATACTGTACGGCGTCTAGAGGCCAACCAGAACGCATCACATCAATTTTTTGTTGCATAACGATATTGTGTATCGCTATGTATTGGATGACGTGGCTAGTTCTGATTGGCCTTTGGACCGTATGGTGTCCTCACATAATAATTTTTCCTATTTTGGAGGCAGTACATAGCAAGCTCCTCCATTGTATAGTTATAATTGTTACATCAGCACCATTTTTGGAGCAAAAATAAAAGTTTCTTAACTACAATTTAGCCTAATTTAGATAAACCAGCACCTAATGTTCTCAGGGATGGGGAAGAGAAGCTAAAAGCCTATTTTTTAAATATTCATTCAACTTTTTTATTTGTGCTTAAGATCAATATTGACAATTTTGAAAACATTTTTATTTAAACTTATTATTTTAAAAAGAAAATTTTAAGATTTATAATTTATAATACAAAATCTTCATATTATGAAGTTAAATTGTTTACTTCATTATCAATATAATCAAATATTTCTTCTTAATATAAATGACTAAACTATTGTCAATTAATTGATCACTAATTCTATTTCGTTGTTGATTTCTTATAATATTCATAACAGAAAAACAATCATTTCAAATTACATTGCATTTATCATAAAATAAATTTTAATTTATTATGATAAAATGCTAATCACAATATTTTAATAAAATTAAATATCATATAAAAGTCACAACAACAAGGAGATGAATAACAGTTTGAGAATAAAGATGATCAACTATGCTTATATTTTAATAAATAATAAATAATAATAATAATAATAATAATAATAATATAAAAAAGCAAATAAAAATAAAAAAAAGTCCATCACTGACCAAAAAAAAAATCTAAATCCTAATCAAACATTCTCACTCAAAGCTAGTCTCCTTCCACCCAAATCACAATACCAACAACAAATTCATTAGGTTCAACACAACTTTCTTATTGCTTTTTAAAATAATTTTCTTGCACAAGTTTTGTATTTTAAAAAATTGTATTAGAAAACTAGATTAGAAAGCAATAATAAAGCTGACAAAAAACACAAATCACTCAAATAATAACAACTCATTCAACATAACATTCTTGATTGAGGATCAAAATGTCTACATGAGTACATATATTCCAGCTGACAAAAAACACAAGTGTTGAAGAATGAAGATACAAAAACAAATATGCAAGAACAAGAAGAAATAATGGC